TGATTTTGACCCGCAGTAGCGAACTCCATACATTTTAGTTTTGGCGGACGGTTCTTTCTTTCTTTGTTTCTGGCGTCTCTCTCTCTCTCTCTCTCTCTCTCTCTCTCTCTCTCTCTCCATTCTTTCTTTCCTGCGTCTCTATCTCTCTCACTCCCTCATTCCGACGGATGCGTTTGGAAAAAATGGTCTGCTTTGTATTTGTTAAGTTGTGTTGTCCAGTGTTATATCGAGTCATGTACGAGGGAAACACAAATGTACAATAATAAATAACAATGTATGTTGCCACATACATATAACCAAGCTTTGGTAGGTGCCCACTGACAACAACTATGGAAGTAGTGAGGCCCTGTCTCTGCCCCTCTCTCTCTCTCTCTGTATTTCTCTATATGTACATATATTTCCAGATGTCAAGATTGGCCAAAACCGGACAGAAGAGAAAGTCAGGCGAAGAGTGTGATGCAACGGCGGATCACTTTCTACTACTGGGGGCCAAAGAAGAGAAGACGACTGAGATGGACCAGAACTGGGGTCAGATAGTATAGAAGCAGCGATAACATATAGACAGGCTAACATACGAGGTACATAAGCAGAAACAATTGGTGAGACAGATGTCAGACGAACTATACCGTATTAAGTCACTGATCGTAGAAATGACAGAAACTGTGGAACACAGGATGTTCACCGTGTTTTGGTTGTTACTATCCGATCCAAAGTGTTTAGACAAAACTCGTCGGGGAGGACATGACTGCCAGACTGAAGGCAATAGCTGAAACGAAGACCACCACGTTTGACGAGTTCCAGACATGGTTGGATGGTGAAAGGCGCAGGCGCACCGCGGTCTTGAATCGGTTCGCCGCCCACGTGATAAAGAGAACTCACAGAGAATCACAAAGACTTGATGTCGCATCTTGTGCCAACCCTGAGAAGTGTGTGCTGAAGGAGGGGTGGTCATCGTATGATTGCCAATAATATAGTACGGGTTCGCTAACTGCTTCGTCACTCAGTGTCGTCGACCTCTTGGCCTTCGCAGCAGACTGTATTCGCCACTGTAAGGAAACCGTAGACGAGTACGGTCTCTGTGATGAGGGTGTCGCGACTGCTAAGGATGACCTTCCTCGCAATAAGACGTCTCTGATGAACAGTTGCTCGAACGTCATAGATGCCCTGCAACGCACACGAGGTAGGTTGTTGGCTGGAGAAATAACGGTGACTTGTGTGAACGAAGTTGTCATGGGAAGTGCAGAAGGTGAAAGGACGAAGGCAGGTGAAGAACTCGACACAACAATGCAAACCTCCAGAGGAATTGGGACCACTGACGGGGACTGCACGCCTGTGCCGCATGCCCTGCTGGCGTGCACCGATGTTGCCGCACTGAATTGTCACCACGTTCGTCACAACTTCCCATGTGTCGTCGCTAGCAAAGCACCTTGTGCTGATGCAGAATCTGT